TCATTATAAAGAACACATGTTTCTATGTTTTTATATTGTTTAATATGTCATATTAGATCAATTATAGACAAATAAGCCGTATAGTTGATATTAGCGTAATAATGAGCTACATGTATATAGGAGAGGAGAGTTTTTAACCCTTTGACTGTCGCAACCCCCAATCCTGAGGTGTCTCCTGGTGTCGCAAAATTTAAAAGAAAAAAAAATTTTTCTTATGAAATGATAGAGAATCTTTTCCCGATTGTAATGACACCAAAAAAACGAAATTTGATTGAAAACTGACGGAATTATGCTCTCGCGAAGTTAGCGACCTCGGCGCTGTTTACAAATCGGCGATTTCGCCCACTTTGAGCCCTATTTTTGGCTAATTCCATTGTTCCAGTTGCCCAAACTCATAGCTATTTCTTTAGAACTCTATTTTTTCTATTGATTGAGTACAAAAAAACTGCCCATTTACCGATTTCAACTCCCTAATAATGTGGTCAGAAATTTGCAATTTGGCCAATTTCAGGAAAACTAAAAAATCTGACAATTTCAAAAAAAAGGGTCCAAGAATGAACCAATGCAGACATTCCTGGCTCTAAATAACATTTTCTTTGCTCATCAGACATGTCTCCAGGCCCCTCTGATATTACTCTAGCTTTCTATTTTGAATTTTTATTCAAAAAAAAAATTAGAAGACTTACTATTATGCGGGACACTGCAATACTGAAAATAATTGTATAAATAACATCAACCCATTCATGACTGCATATTAAATGGCTAGTTGGACATTTATTGGACAATGGCATCATTTGTTTTTACTTTTGAACATTGGCAAAAATCAAACATTTCCCTACTTTGAGCTCCATTTCTAGGTTCTTTTTATAGTAAAATCAATCAAAAATCACCTCTATTTCTTAACATGTTTTCCATTCTATCAAATGGACCAAGAAAATGAGAATACAACCATAAATACTATACAAAAATAGACCACAAATTCGGCATTTTAATTAAAAAAAACGGTCGGAGTTTTTTTTTTCTCATTATGCACTGCGTTCTCCAGGATTTTTTTATATGGTGCATACTAACCACACAGACCCATTCTCTCACATGTGGGCCTACCAGCTTTCTCCTGCTTGATTTGAAGCCGCTAGAATTTATGAGTATATACACGTCAAACACGGTACCTCGTAAGACGTATATATACGGCCGCGACAGTCAAAGAGTTAAATGGAGTTAGAGGTATTGGGAAGATGGAGGGAATATTTTGAGGAATTGTTAAATGTTGATGAAGATAGGGAAGCTGTGATTTCGTGTATAGGGCAAGGAGGAATAACTTCTTGTAGGAGTGAGGAAGAGCCAGTTGTGAGTGTGGGGGAAGTTCGTGAGGCAGTAGGTAAAATGAAAGGGGGTAAGGCAGCCGGGATTGATGGGATAAAGATAGAAATGTTAAAAGCAGGTGGGGATATAGTTTTGGAGTCTTTGGTGCAATTATTTAATAAATGTATGGAAGAGGGTAGGGTACCTAGGGATTGGCAGAGAGCATGCATAGTTCCTTTGTATAAAGGCAAAGGGGACAAAAGAGAGTGCAAAAATTATAGGGGGATAAGTCTGTTGAGTATACCTGGTAAAGTGTATGGTAGAGTTATTATTGAAAGAATTAAGAGTAAGATGGAGAATAGGATAGCAGATGAACAAGGAGGCTTTAGGAGAGGTAGGGGGTGTGTGGACCAGGTGTTTACAGTGAAACATGTAAGTGAACAGCATTTAGATAAGGCTAAAGAGGTCTTTGTGGCATTTATGGATTTGGAAAAGGCATATGACAGGGTGGATAGGGGGGCAATGTGGCAGATGTTGCAAGTGTATGGTGTAGGAGGTAGGTTACTGAAAGCAGTGAAGAGTTTTTATGAGGATAGTGAGGCTCAAGTTAGTGTGTAGGAAAGAGGGAAATTATTTCCCAGTAAAAGTAGGCCTTAGAGAAGGATGTGTGATGTCACCATGGTTGTTTAATATATTTATAGATGGGGTTGTAAGAGAAGTAAATGCGAGGGTCTTGGCAAGAGGTGTGGAGTTAAAAGATAAAGAATCACACATAAAGTGGGAGTTGTCACAGTTGCTCTTTGCTGATGACACTGTGCTCTTGGAGATCTGAAGAGAAGTTTCAGAGATTGGTGGATGAATTTGGTAGGGTGTGCAAAAGAAGAAAATTAAAAGTGAATACAGGAAAGAGTAAGGTTATGAGGATAACAAAAAGATTGGGTGATGAAAGATTGGATATCAGATTGGAGGGAGAGAGTATGGAGGAGGTGAGTGTATTCAGATATTTGGGAGTGGACGTGTCAGCGGATGGGTCTATGAAAGATGAGGTGAATCATAGAATTGATGAGCGGAAAAGGGTGAGTGGTGCACTTAGGAGGCTGTGGAGACCAAGAACTTTGTCCTTGGAGGCAAAGAGGGGAATGTATGAGAGTATAGTTTTACCAACGCTCTTATATGGCTGTGAAGCATGGGTGATGAATGTTGCAGCGAGGAGAAGGCAGGAGGCAGTGGAGATGTCATGTCTGAGGGCAATGTGTGGTGTGAATATAATGCAGAGAATTCGTAGTTTGGAAGTTAGGAGGTGCGGGATTACCAAAACTGTTGTCCAGAGGGCTGAGGAAGGGTTGAGGTGGTTCGGACATGTAGAGAGAATGGAGCGAAACAGAGTGACTTCAAGAGTGTATCAGTCTGTAGTGGAAGGAAGGCGGGGTAGGGGTCGCCCTAGGAAAGGTTGGAGGGAGGGGGTAAAGGAGGTTTTGTGTGCGAGGGGCTTGGACTTCCAGCAGCCATGTGTGAGCATGTTTGATAGGAGTGAATGGAGACAAGTGGTTTTTAACACTTGACGTGCTGTTGGAGTGTGAGCAAAGTAACATTTATGAAGGGGTTCAGGGAAACCGCCAGGCCGGACTTGAGTCCTGGAGATGGGAAGTACAGTGCCTGCACTCTGAAGGAGGGGTGTTAATGTTGCAGTTTAAAAACTGTAGTGTAAAGCACCCTTCTGGTAAGACAGTGATGGAGTGAATGATGGTGAAAGTTTTTCTTTTTCGGGCCACCCTGCCTTTGTGGGAATCGGCCAGTGTGATAATAAAAAAAAAAATAATGTATATTCTCCTGCTGATGTAAGCAAATGTTCCCAGAATGTTCCTGATTGTTTCCCAGACTGCATATTAGCTCCCCCCCTTCCCCAAATCTAAAAATTTACTGCATGTGAGCAGACATTCTATGAGCGGTGATGTCACCATACACGATATAAATTACTATAATTCCTTGTAGTAACATCGTACAACATTGATTATTGTATCATTGTGTTGCCAAAAAGTTAAGCTATTTTTCTATATGATTAACTCAATTTCCATATTTTTTTCTATTTTTTTTTCACTCGCGCACCGCACACTGAAATCCTCCCTTAACACTTTCAGGGTCAGCACGCCCTCTCCTAAACTTGTTCTCGGGGTCGGAAATTTTTCGAAAAAAAAAAAATTCTTATGAAATGATAGAGAATCTTTTCTCGATCATAATGACACCAAAAGTATGAAATTTGATGGAAAACTTACGGAATTATGCTCTCGCGAAGTTAGCGGTCTCGACGATGTTTACGCATCAGTGATTTCGCTCACTTCTATTTTCGGCCAATTCCAATGTACCAGTCGACAAAAATCATAACTATTTCGCTAGAACTCCTTTTTTTCCTATCGAATGAATACAAGAAACCACCCATTTACCGATTTCAACTGTCCAGTAAAGTGGTCAGAAATTGGCAATTTTGCCAATTTCACACAAATTTCAAAAGATGCTAATTTCCAGATAGGGTCCAGAATAAACAAGACAGACATTCCTGGCACTAAAATAATCTCCTCTGTTCATTAGTCATGTCCCCAGGCCTCTGTTACATTTCTTTTGCTTTCCATTTTTATTCTCGCAAAAAATAGAAGATTTGCTGTTATGCAGACTACTGCATTAGTGTAGAAATGGTGTAGAAATGGTATAAATAATATCCACGCACTTGTGAAAGAATATTAGACTCGCCAGTTGATGTGTATTGGATACATAGCATGATTTGTTTACTTTTAAACTTTGGCAAAAATTGAACATTTCTGCTACTCAAAGTAGCAGAAATGTTCAATTTTAAGGTACTTTTCATTGTGAAATCATTCAAAATCATCTCAATTTCCATAATATATCTTCCATTCTATAAAATGAGACCAGAAAAACTAGAATACAACCATAAATAGCATAAGAAAATACACTGCAAAGTCGCTGTTTTAAACCAAAAACACGGAGGCTTTTTTTTTTCTCATGCACTGTGTGCTGCAGGATTTTTTTTATACTGCGCACACTGACCTCATAGACCCATTCTTTCATATGTACGCCTACCAGCGTTCTCTCGCTAGATTTTAAGGTGCTAGAATTTGTGTACTAGTACGGCACCAACCCTGGTGTGCAAGCCGTACTAGTACGGCACCAACCCTGAAAGGGTTAATTAAGTCTTCAGGATTCCCCCGAGTGGACTGAAATGTAAAGAGGCTCGATCTAAACGATCAGTTCCTATTTCCTTAAATGTAATACGAAAAGTACAGCTAGGAAGAATCTTTGATAGAAGAGGGAAGATTTTTCCATCTGCTGGCAGTTTTTGCTTATTGGTGGGGCCGGGAACCTAACAGCCATAAAAAATAAGGCCCTCCTGTATACACCATTGAAAATGCTTTCACTATAAAATTAAGCTAGTGTCCCTAGCATCAGAATGTAGGATGTTGTTGGTTCACCTATTCATGAACACCTGACTCTTGGAATTAAAGATATACAGTAATAAAAGTAGGGCCTTCTTTCCTCTACAGAATTAATTTCATAGAAAATTTTGCTCCTGTAGTTTTTGCCCTCACATTAATTGTGATAAACTACTGAGCAGCAGTATTTATGAAAATCAGTATGGTAGATTATATGTAATTATACATTATAGTTTAATAATCTTGAACTTTCAGGGGTATGTAGTGTCAAGTATTGAAGGCAGAGTTGCAGTAGAATATCTCGACCCCAGCCCTGAGGTCCAGAAAAAGAAATACGCCTTCAAGTGCCACAGACTCAAAGAAGATGGAATTGAGAAAATATTTCCTGTTAATGCTATTAGGTTAGTACATTGTCTTAGTTAGCAGCAGTGTATTACTACACTATGTAAGGTAGACTCTATGGGGAAGTGGAAAAGAATTCTTCCTAGATAAGTCATGAGTGTCGTAAGAGGTGACTAAAATGCCGGGAGCGAGAGGCTAGTAACCCCTTCTCCTGTATACATTACTAAATTTACAAAAGAGAAACTTTTGTTTCTCTTTTTGGGTCACTCCGCCTCGGTGGTATATGGCCGGTTCATTGAAAAAAAAAAATGCAAGGCAGGGCCCTGACTTAGTGATCTGCACTTACCATGTTAACACTTTGCAACCAATTACCCAGTAATTTCTGTGCATAGTTTGTGATTTTAGAACCAAATTTTTCAGCAAGAGAGTCTGGTATTGACCTATTCATGGATACTGCTTTTAAATTGTTGAAAGCCTACCACACACTAGCTGCCTCCTCCTTTGAAGAAGAAAAAGGCAACAATACCATGACTGGAACAATACACAAATAACCCTCACATATGACAATGAAAATTATAATGACATTTTGATTTGGCTTGGACCATTAACTAGTCACCAAATGGTTCAAGTTGTACCAAGACATCATTATAAGTTTCATTGTCCTGTGAGTGGGTGACCTGTGTATCCTATATCTTTGGTACATCAAGGTGTAAACTAGAATCAGTAACCACCTTAAGAGGCACGTAAGTTCCCTGTCTTCTAATAACGTGTTCATTTTTCCACTATAATGTACCTTGTTCACAATTACTATCGCATTTGCTTTATCTTCTTTCGTAAGATGAAGTCTAGGATCCTTCCTTAAATTCATGGTGCAGTATAACTTAAATCTTTGAGGACAGTTGTGAACATCTGAACATAGTAGTATTGTCATGCCTCGGGCAAGGCAGTGATGGAGTGAAGGATGGTGAATTTTTTTTTTTTTTTTTTGGGGGGGGGGGGGAGTTGGCCACTCTACCTCTGTGGGAGATGGCTGGTGTGTTAAAAAAATGTTTGAATATTTGTAAAGATTGTAACTAGGGATTGTTGTTTGTAAATAATTACGTAATTGATTCCAAAGTGCCAGTGTTACAAGTGTAAAATTTTGTAATTTGGAACATGGTAAGTCAGGGCCTATTGTATGTGTGTTTCTTTTATTTTTCTTAGCTTCCTTTAATACTTCCAGTTTTTTTTATGCAGTAATTAACTCTCACACATGTACTCTCTTGCTTATTTTAAAAATAAATTTAATCTTTTATACTGTATAAAATATGGGGAATACTTATATGTTAAAATCAGTGAAAAATATGTATTACTTGTGACATTGTTGCTCCAGCCATCCTGAGGTCACCACCGCCGCCCACTTCTCAGAATAAAACGGATTAAATTTAGAATGTAATCTTTGTTTTATATATATGCTGGTATACTGTACATTTATTTGCTGTATAAGGTTTTTTTGTGGGTGTTTGGACTTCCAGCAAGCGTGTGTGAGCGTGTTAGATAGGAGTGAATGGAGACGAATGGTATTTGGGACCTGACGAGCTGTTGGAGTGTGAGCAGGGTAATATTTAGTGAAGGGATTCGGGGAAACTGGTTATTTTATATAGTTGGACTCGAGTCCTGGAAATGGGAAGTACAATGCCTGCACTTTAAAGGAGGGGTTTGGGATATTGGCAGTTTGGAGGGATATGTTGTGTATTCTTTATACGTATATACTTCTAAACTGTTGTATTCTGAGCACCCCTGCAAAAACAGTGATTATGTGTGAGTGAGGTGAAAATGTTGAATGATGATGAAAGTATTTTCTTTTTGGGGATTTTCTTTCTTTTTGGGTCACCCTGCCTCGGTGGGAGACAGCCGACTTGTTAAAAAAAAAAAAATTGGATAATGTCCTTGTTAATCAGTGTCTTCATAAACACTTTACAATTTCAAATTCAAAGGATATGAACATTGATTACCTGGAGTTTACCTGGAGAGAGTTCCGGGGGTCAACGCCCCCGCGGCCCGGTCTGTGACCAGGCCTGAAGGAATTTTATAAAAAAATTTAGTTATGGTGTAGATGCTAATGCTTTATACTTTCACTTTGTTTCAGCTTCCACAATGGATATAACACTTTTGCCACTGGTGGTTCTGATGGGTATGTTAACATATGGGATGGGTTCAACAAGAAAAGATTGTGTCAGTTCCACCGTTATCCAACTTCCATTTCATCTCTCTGCTTCAGTAATGATGGTAATACATAAATAAGTATTTCAATTTGATATATGAATGAAAAAGTACAAAATAAATAAGTTTCTAGTTTGTTATCCACACAGGCATACCAGTAAGTTTTATTTATCTTTAATTCCTACCACTAGTTCTTACATGCAGTAGTTTATTAATGCCTCTGTATTCACCTTAAACTTTGTCTCTCGATTATCTGAAAAAAAAAAAATATTTTTGTTATGCTTGAGGTGTCATTTTCTACTTTAGTTTTTAGAGGGGAGGATTCCTGAATAGTGTAAAATGTAACAAATAAGTCTGGCTGAGGTATTGTTAATAAACGTTGTTGAAATACATTTATCTGTTAACCTCTTCAGTGTCTGTCAAATAGATGTATATCATTGACACCAGGGTCTCTTGTGTAGATCTACGTTTTGAGCCCGTCTCACTCAGATGAGCTGTGAGAGAGAAATTTTAGCCTAGATATGAGAGAATGGGTATGTGTCTTGAGTGTGCATAGTATAAAAAAATCCTGCCCCAGTCTGTACACTGCCATAACAATATACTGCAGTGACAGAGATGGGAGAAAGTGCAAAATAAACACAGCGAAAAGCAGGGGTGCACTGGGCACAATGTGGAAACACTGTATTGACATCCATGGCTCCAGACTAATCAACGTTTAACTAGAATATATCAGAAACACTGCTGGAACAGGTGTAGAAGTCTTCAAGAGGAAACTGGACAAATATCTTCACCAGGTGCCATGATGACTATGTGGGTCATTGGGCTGCCAGTAGCAACAGCCTGGTTGACCAGGCAAGTGCTAGACGAGCCTGGCCCACGGCTAGGCTCTACGAGTAGAATACTCCCAGAACTCATCAAAGGTATATATCAGTGCATGATGGGAAAAGCAAAACCGATCTTTGTTTTTGGTTTGAAATAGCAACTGTGAGGTGTTTTTTGTCTGTTTTTTTGTTTAGTATTACAGTTGGACCTCTGTATCCATGAGGGATACGTTCTCAGGACCTCCTGCAGATACCTAAACCATGGATAGCAGCAAACCCCTTATATGTCGTTTTTCATTTACAGTAGAACCCATTTATCCACTGATTCGGCATCCGCGGTTTCAGTTATCCACGATTTACTGTGGTCCAAAAATACCTCTTAATTTTGTATAATAATGGCCCCAAAGCACAAAAATAGAAATGCTGGCAGTTCTTAAAAGCGAAGAGAAGCCATGAAGTACTTCCCACCAGTGAAAGATAATTCTCTGTTTATTGTTAGGATAAAAGTGAAATAACTTGTATCCTAATTGCCTCTACCAAACATCTTACTTAGCCCTAATTATTTTAAATTGATTTATAAATTGATCCTTATAATAGGTATGTTCTTTCTTCTTTCTTTCAACAAACCGGCCGTATCCCACCTAGGCGTATGTATAGGACTTATATACAGTGGACCCTCGACTTACGATATTAATCCCAAATTACTTTCACTAGACGCTCTATCATCTCCAATCATCCTTTGAACCTCTATGGCTTACGTATCCCTGAACATGATAGTCAGGTTTCTAGGCCTTCTCTTTGACTGTAGGTTATCCTGGAAACCTCACACTGCCTCTCTGAAGGCAGCTTGTCACAGCCGGCTGAACCTTCTTAAAACCCTTGCTCATCTTTCATGGGGAGCTAATCATTGAACTCTCCTTCGCCTACATTCAGCTCTCGTTTTATTGAAACTCGATTGTGGTGACCAGATCTATTCAGTGGCCTTTCCTGCTACTCTCTCTAGCCTTAATCCCATCCATCACCAGGGATTACGTTTATGCCTTGGTGCTTTTCGCTCTTCCCCTGTTGAGAGCCTCTATGCAGAAGCGAATATTCCATCCTTGTCCGATCGCCATGATGTCAATTGCCTTGGCTACTATGATCACTCTCATGATCTCCACAATCCTTCCGTATATAGAATAGTCACCGATGTTAATAGACATTCTTATTTGTTCGTTGCCCCTGTTTGCTCCGTCCTTTTTCTCTTCGCCTACATTTGCTCTCGTCTTCCCTTCAGTTACCACCTTTCTAGGTTCATGTAGCATCTAACTTTTCCCTACCCCCCTGGGAACTTCCAGCTGTTGGAGTCTGTTCTTTCTCACTCCCTTGCACTAAAGCCCAACTGCCTACGGTAGCTGCCCGCTCTTTTTCTTGACCACTTCTGCTCTCATTCTCATGCCATCGCAGTGTACACAGGTGGCTCTAAGTCTTCTGACGGCGTCGGATTCGCAACAGTGTTTCTGGACAGTGTCGTGCGAGGGCATTTACTATCCTCAGCTAGCATTTTTACTGCTGAATTGTATGCCATTCTTGCAGCACTTACCCGTATTGCATCTATGCCTGTGTCATCATTTGTGGTTGTTTCAGACTCCCTTAGTGCTTTACAGGCTAAACGAAAATTTGATACACCTCACCCCCTAGTTCTCCGTATCCAACTTTGGTTACGCCGTATCTTTACCAAGCATGAAGATATTGTTTTTTGTTGGGTCCCAGGTCATGTTGACGTACAGGGCAGTGAACAAGAAGACACTGCTGCGCAGTCAGCAGTACATGACCTTCCAGTTTCATATAGAGGTGTTCCATTCACAGACTATTTTGCTGTAATAGCTACCCACCTTCACGCCCATTGGCAAAAACGCTGGTCTGATCTGCTCAATAACAAACTTCATTCTATTAAACCGAGTATAGGTTACTGGCCGTCTTCTTGTCATCAGTGTTGAGGTTGGGAGACTACTCTCTCCCGTCTTCGCATTGGCCACACTTGTCTTACTCGTGGGTATCTCATGGAGAGGCACCCTGTTCCTCTCTGTGAGAATTGCCAGGTTCCAGTATCAGCCACATTCTGTTAGACTGCCCACTCTATCAACGAGCCCCCAGAATTTACCACCGTTGTCGTCTCTACTGTGCTGCTCTCTCTTTACCTTCCCTTCTTGCTGATGGACCCTCCTTTAATCTGGACTCTCTCAATGACTTTTTGACAACAAGTGATTTACTCCACAAACTCTGATGATCCCTTTAGCACTCCCCTCAGCCCTTTCTACTTCAATCTCTTGCTACCCTCTACCATCGCACTATCCATTGCCCCGCTGTTCTCCGTACCCTACTAATCGTCCCTTTCCCTTCTGCCACCTGATACCCTCGCTTCTGTCCCTGCCCTGTATAGCCCTTGTGGCTTAGCGCTTTTTTTTATTATAATAATACAGTGGACACCCGCCCAACGGCGGCATCTAGTAATGGCAAATTCGTCTAACGGTGCTCTTTGGCGTAAAAAAAAATGGCTCTACCATTGGCAAAAAATTCCTCTAACGGTGTTTGTCCGGTACGTGTCCATGCGGCGGGAGCGTGGCCTGAGCGGGCCCAGCCACTCCAAGACTCAGTGTGCCATTGTTTACAAGCTGTTGCAGTCGATTCCATGTGTACCTGCCATATATTTTGGATTATTCCAGTGTTTTTAGTGCTTGTAACTGCTAAATAAGTCACCATGGGCCCCAAGAAAGCTTCTGGAGCCAAGCTTGTGTTAAAACGGGTGAGAATTACGATGGAAATAAAGAAAGAGATGATTGAAAAGCACGAAAGTGGAGGGAATATGTCTGAGTTGGAAAGGCTATACAACAAACCCCATTCAACCATCAGTACCATCTTGGTGAACAGAAAGGCAATCGAGGAAGCTGTTGTTGTGTAAGGTGCAAGTATATTTTCAAAACGGAGACCGCAAATAATTGAAGAGGTAGAGACTTATTGGTATGGATAAACAAAAAACAATTATCAGGTGATAGTGTTTCTCAGTCTATAAGTTGTGAAAAGGCAAGGCAGTTGCATGATGATCTTAAGTAAATGCCTCAAAATAGTGATGATATTGATGAATTTAAGACCAGCAAAGGCTGGTTTGAGAGATTTAAGAATCGTAGTGGCATACACAGTGTGGTAAGGGATGGTGAGGCTGCCTGTTAAGACAAAAAAGCGGCTGAAAAATATGTGAAGGACTTGAAGGAATACATAGAGACTGAAAACCTGAACAAGTGTTTAATTGTGACAAAACAGACCTTTTTTTGGAAGAAAATGCCAAACAGGATCTACATTACTCAGGAGGAAAAGGCACTCCCAGGACATAAGCTTATGAAAGACAGGCCGACATTAAGGTTGTGTAGTAATGCTAGTGTTGATTGCAAAATGAAGCCTTTATTGGTATATCACTCTGAGACTCCCAGAGTGTTTAGGAAAAACAGTATCATCAAGGGTAATTTGTGTGCTGTGGAATCAAACAGTAAGGCACGGGTCACTAGGGAACTTTTCTTGGACTGGTTTTATGGTGTGTTTGGCCTCACTGTGACAGAATACCTCCAGGAAAAGAAGTTGTCACTCAAGTGTCTCCTGGTAATGGACAATGCTCCTGCTCATCCTCATGACTTGCAAGAGGAAATTGCAGGGGAGTTTGGTGTCATTAAAGTGAAGTTTTTGCCTCCTAATACTACTACTCTCCTCCAGCCCATGGACTAGCAGGTCATTTCAAACTTCAAAAAACTCTACACAAAAGCAGTGTTTCAAAAGTGCTTTGAAGTGAACTCAGACACTTAATTGACCCTAAGAGAATTTTGGGAAGATCACTTCAGTATCCTCAGTTGCATAAACCTTATAGGTAAGGCTTGGGAGGGAGTGACTTGTAGGACTTTGAACTCTGCTTGGAGGAAACTGGCCACAGCGTGTACAAGAGAGGGATTTTGAAGGGTTTGGGGCTAACCCTCAGGAGCCTGTGCCAGTAGTGGAAGCTGTTGTGTCATTGGGGAAGTCCTTGGGGTTGGAGGTTTGTGGTGAGGATGTGCAAGAGTTGGTGCAGAACGACGAGGAAGAACTAACCACTGCAGACCTGCAAGAGCTTCAGGTGCAACAGCAATAGATCACATCTCAGGAATGTTCTTCAGAGTAAGAGGAAGAGAGACAGAGGAAGATGACTTCATCAAGGATTAGGGAAATGTGTTCAATGTTTACAAAGGTGCAAGCATTTATGGATGAATTTTATTCTGTCACAGAAGTTGCAAGCCTTATTGGCAACATGTACAATGACACTCTTGTGTCCTATTTTAAGGAAATCCTAAGGGCACATAAGAAACAGAGCTCTCTGGACAGATATTTTGTCTGAAAGGGCTCCAGTGACTCTCAAGCTGGTCCTAGTGGCATTAAAAAACCCAAGAAGGGAGGTAACCCTACCAAAGGACTTAATACCTCAAGTCTTTATGGAAGGGGATTCCCCTTCCAAACAATAAAACACCTGCATCATCTGCCCTCCTACTGTCTCATCACTCATCAACAACTCCACAATAAAGGTAAGTGGCATTAATTATTGTTTATTTTGCATGTCCCATTCGTTTTTGTGTAGGGAAATGTATATTTTATGTAAAAAAATTTTTGTTTAATACTTTTGGGTGTCTGGAATGGATTAATTCTATTTCCATTATTTCTTATGGGGAAAATTAATTCGACTAACGGCAAATTCGACTAACAGCTAGCTCTCTGGAACGGATTAATGCCGTTGGTCGAGGGTCCACTGTAATAGGGCTAAAAGTGAGCAGGTTATGACAAATGGAGAAAAAGAAATTGGAATGACTCATGCAGCATGTAGTGCCACCAAACAGTAGTGGCAGGTTGGTGTGGCAACCCTGGAAATTAGAAGTTATGCTAGCCGAAATTAGTGCTGGATTACTGATGGAACAGGATTTCTTACATAAAAGGCCCGAAGATTTGGAACTCACTACCGGAGCAGGTCAGGGATCCCCTGACAGCTTATAAATTTAGGACTTTGCTAAAAATCACCTTCTCACAATATTAACCAAATCAACGGGCAAATGACGGGCATAAACAAAGGAGATATTAATAAGGTATTGAGGGTGTCGAACCAGGTAAGAACCAGAAATAATGGATTTCAGTTGGATAAATTTAGATTTAGAAAGGACATAGGTAAGTACTGGTTTTCTAACAGAGTTGTGGATGCATGGAACAATCTTCCCAGTGGGGTGATAGAGGCTAGGACCTTGGGTAGCTTTAAGAAGAGATTGGACAAATATATGAGTGGGAGGGGCTGGGTTTGATTAGTGTCATTGGGTACGGGAGTTAATTCTTGGGTAGCTTTGAGTAGAGGTCGTTTTGATAAGGACCTGCCTTGTATGGGCTAGTAGGCCTTTTGCAGTGTTCCTCCATTCTTATGTTCTTAACCAAAACATCTACTAACTAGTTTTATTATGTGACCTCTAGGCTCTTAATTCTGCCAATCCATAAAATCATCTTATTTCTCGATATTAACCAAATCGGCCAAAACATCTGCTAATTAGTTTTATTATGTGGCCTCCTGGCTTTTAATTCTGACATTCCATAAAATATTACCACCTGGACCATTACTTGCAAGATATATTTTGTGTGCAATTTCAAGATTATTATACCGAACTCTAGTCCACCTTACTACCTCTCACTTGTATTAAGTTTAAATAAGATTGTAAAACAGTCAACCACTGTTACTTGTCTAGTTATAAGTATAGTTACTGTGTACTCTTATCTTATCTAGTTTTAATAAGTTACTATATATTAGGATTAGTTTGCTTGAAGTGCCTCAGTATGATAGTGGCTATCTTTGTACTTAGCAAATCAAAATTGTAATTACACATTGTAGTCTTTACAAAGAAATAAACTTTACTTACTTACTGATTGCTGGATTAGTGATGGCCAACCTGTATTTCGAAAAAATTGGCTGCCAGTGTTGTAGTCCAGTTTGTCATCAGATCATAATATATGTGCCACTCTGGAAAGACAGCTAGGGAGCAAATTTTGAGAAGGGAAGTACGGCCTCTCCTCACTTAGTGACATACTCGTTTACTGATAATTCAGACTTATGATGGGCTCTGACCAGCATACATACCTAAATACAGCCTCTCCTCAACGATGGAGTGCTGTTCCTATGACCACATCATTAATCTAATTCATCACTATGTGAGGAGCATGCTATAATGGTAGTGAGTTTGTGTCATCCATCATTGATATTGTTTTAATGGCACCTTGGCACCCTTTATAACATTTCTGGTATATTTTTAAATGTTTATACAGTAGTGTACTGTATATTGAAATAAACAGAATAGAGGAAATCAGCTCTTAATATTCATTACAGTGGATCCTCGGTTTTCGAGTGGTCTGGAAATAGAGTAATTCAGATTTAGAGCACTTTTTTCAGCGAAATTTCGTCCCGGATTTCAAGCATCTGCTCAGAAATCGAGTGTGTGAGAAGCACCCACCCCGTCGGCGATGCCACTTCCTCACGTGTATCACACTCAGTCTGCGTCTCTCTCATTGAGTAAGGAATACTCTGTGCGTTCATCCATTCATCTGTTCATTTTGGTGCTTGTTTATTGATTGTGGCTGTGAAGTAAGCCACCATGGGGTCAAAGAAAGTTCAGAGTGCCAGCCCTTCGGTAAAGAAAGTGAGAAACATGATAGAATTCAAGAAAGAACTTGTGGGAAAGTGTCTTCAATAAAGGTATGTAATGTTTATACAGTGGACCCCCGGTTAACGATTTTAATCCGTGCAAGAGGGCTCATCGTTATGCGAAATAATCGTTATGCGAATGAATTTTCCCCATAAGAAATAATGGAAATAAAATTAATCCGTGCAAGACGCCCAAAAGTATGAAAAAAATTTTTTTTTACCACATGAAATGTTAATTTTAATACACACAAACTGAAAAAGGCATGCACAATTACATGACACTTACTTTTATTGAAGATCTGGTGATGATTGATGGGATGGGAGGAGGGGAGAGCATTATCTTCTTACTGTTTAGAAGGGGAATCCCCTTCCATTAGGACTTGAGGTAGCAAGTCCTTTTCTGGGGTTACTTCCCTTCTTCTTTTAATGCCACTAGGACCAGCTTGAGAGTCACTGGACCTCTGTCGCACAACAAATCTGTCCATAGAGCTCTGTACCTCCCGTTCCTTCAAGACTTTCCTAAAATGGGCCATAACATTGTCATTGAAATAGTCACAAGCACGGCTTGCAACAGCTGTGTCAGGGTGATTTTCATCTATAAAGGTTTGCAGTTCAACCCACTCTGCACACATTTCCTTAATCTTTGAAGTAGGCACAATGGATTCCACAACTGGCATAGGCTTCTCAGGGTTAGCCCCAAACCCTTCAAAATCTTTCTTAATTTCCATACTAATTCTCACCCTTTTTACCACAGGGTTGGCACTAGAAGCTTTCTTGGGGCCCATGGTCACTTATTTTCCAGAAACAGCACCGAAAATACTGTAATAATACGAAATATTCCGAGTGTATGCTTGGATGTTACCGCGGAGGCTGGCTGGTAAACAATGGGACGGAGCGGCACATGTGAGGCTGGCTGAGGGCACATTGGACGCGTCTCGGACGAAAATCGGTATGCGGGTTTTTAATCGGTATGCGCGGCAAAAATTTTGCGATAAAAGTAATCGTTATGCGGAAAAATCGCTATGCGATGCCATCGTTATGCGGGGGTCCACTGTACTATTTTTTTTTTTAACAAACTGGCCGTATTGTTTTGTGTATGTAAAACTATAGTTAATCATTAAAAAATGAATTTTTTTGTGAATATTTTTGGGTGTCGAATGGATTAATTGGATTTTCATTATTTCTTATGGGAAATATTAATTCAGCTTTTAGCATTTTGGGTTTAGAGCAATCTTCTGGAACAGATTAAGCTCGAAAACCGAGGGTCCACTGTATTTAGGTATAAATACTTGTCAGAGAGCTCGTCATAAGTCTGAGGCGTCGGTAAACAAGTACGTTGCTAAGTGAAGAGAGACTGTAATGTATATTAGAGCTGATTTCCTCTCTTCTGTTTTTTACAATATACAGTACACTACTGTATAAACATTTAAAAATATACCAGAAATGTTATAAATGGTGCACAGGTGATATTAAAACAGTATCAATGATGGTTGACACAAATCCGCTACCATTATGGTATGCTCCTCACTTAGCGACAAATTCATTTACCGACGTGGTCTTTGGAAGAGAACTCTGTTAAGTGAGGAAAGGCTATATAGTGCTTACACCGAGTGATAAGTGTGGAGGTTTCATTTTGATGAATCATTAGAATTGTGATGTTTATGGTCTTCTGGAAAGACAGCTAGGGGCTGAGTGGTGGTTTATCTGTTTTCCTTCTTAATGAGGGTGACACACATGCCTGTATAAAAATGAAAGGAGTACTGTGGGATTGTTGCATTCTTGAAATGTAAAAAAAAAAAAAAGCCATATAAAGTTAAATAAGAACTGTAAACCAGGGAAAAATGGTGAACCAAACATTTTTGAAAACGTATTAGGTACTTCTCAACAGTGGTAACATATGATAAGTTACATATGCAACAGTTAGTTATCTTTATTCTGAATATTTCTCGGAATAAAGATACCCAACTCTTGCACACGTGTCTTATCAATCTGACGGTATTGTATACCATTCTCATATTCACTAGATGTAACATATATATTGGTGGTTGTATTTTTATTTAATACTTTATTCCTCCAAGATTTTCAAGTATAACTCAAGAAAGCTTAATTCAATTGCCTCAAATTTTTAATGCTGGTAAACTGTAACTAAGGCAGGTTGCATATAGCACTTACAGAGGGTTGGTACCCTTTTGTCAATTTTATGAATCCAATTTTTTATTTTGGTTTCCACAAGATAATTTTAGAAGCTTTTTCTGATCAGAGAGATACCTTTCCTAGATTGTGCAGTAACTGAAATATGTGCAATTTTGCATTTGTTTAAATCTTGATCATATGTACAACTAGGCCATATGTAGCGTGAATAATCAACAAGTAGCTGTTTCAATTAAATTTTTTCTTTCTGATTCAGGTAACACACTTGCAATTGCCTGCTCCTTCATGTATGAGCAAGAAAAAATTGATCCCATGCCAGAAGACTGCATCTTTATTCGTCGTGTAACAGACCAGGAGACTAAACCCAAATAAGCTGGCTGACAGCAAGACGTCACAATCGTCCATTCAGTATTTATCCCTCTTGAATATTTTACCACCGAGGGCAGTCCATTACACGGGTCCAAGGTGTGGTGGTGGGCTGGTGGGTTATAGCACTCATAGTATCTTGATTTTATGTCAGTTCTTGCTAACTTTGCTATTTTGCAGGCAAAATTCCTGTCATAAATAAGATTATTATACTCAGAATGGTTTACAATACTTGCTCTTATTGAAAACTGATGACTGGTGCTTTTCTTGTGTCAAAAGGATACTGTATTTTAATAATGTTCAAACTAGTGTGGTCATAGTCTGTATTGTATGATACAAAACCTTAATGTAAGTTTTAATATTAAATGCAAGTATTTGTGGATACGTTAAAACCTGAAATGGGCAGTCGTGTTTCAAATGTGTAAGACCATATCTTTCAAATGTTACTCTCTGATTATGCTCTGTTCATGAAACTTTTCTTCCACAATTCAAGTTCAACATGCAGTGCAAATTATAAATTTCTGAAATTTTTTTGGTGAACATAAAAATGTAGAATTGGAGTAGTTTGTAGGAGGTACTCAGTAAACTGAATATGTTTGGGAACCTCTCGTTGGAAATTGAACTTCAAGCTGTATAGCTGTTTGAGGACAAATTCTGTAGCAGCTTTCCCAACAAGGAAGAGCATTTGTATATGGCACCGAACTCCATGTTACTATCCACATGGATGAGGGACCATTTGTTTTGTAAAACCTTAACAGCAATAATACAGTAGAGCTTTGTTCAGTCTAATATGTAGGCTGTGCACATGGTTAATATACCTGCCACCATCCTTTACCTAAACTGTTACATAATTATTTTTGCATTTTTTGTAATGCTATCAACTGTCATATACATGGTGGCATTTTCTCTCCCTAATTGCTTTGTCAACATGCCATATATTGCCGGCCATAAGATGCCTTTTGTTTTAGAAAATAAGTATGCTCATGGTTGTAATAAACAGAATGCTGAAAGAATTTCCTGGACGATCTGCTGTATGGTGCTAATGTTGTTAAACCGAAGGATTGCGACAGTCCTAGGACTGAGTGGATGGGTGTGTCTGGTGAAAATATTTTTGCCATAAGTTACTTTACTTTTTAATTGATGTTTACTATAATTATTAATGCTAACATAGTTAAATTTTTGTGAAGTCCTCTGTGACCCATGTTTTTAATATAATTTTTAAGTGATCAATTATGGAAAGAAAATATGAAGATAAGTACATAAACTCAAGAATTTTGTGGGTTAGAGTAAAGGTGGAATGCAAAAGTGGGCTACAGTATGTGCATACCTTGGGGTGAGAGGTGTTTAGGAAAGACAGATTTTGGGGGGTGTTGAGTGATTGCTAAGGGAGTTTTTGAGATAAGTGAGAGAATTATTATGGTGGGGAACCTTTATGCTAATGTGGGAGAGAATTATAGATGCTGTAGTAGGTAAGTTCGATGTACCAGGGGTAAATGAAAATGGAGACCCTTAATTGAGTTTTATAGAAAGGGGTTTGATTATAGGTAATATTTTGAAGAAAATTAGGATAAATAATTATAAGAGATGTGTAGGGTGCTGTTATAACAGTTTGATAGCCTACATTAATAAACAAAAGTTTAATAGGTATACTTGAAAATGTAGGATTGCTGGTGGGTTTTTTTTTTTCTGTCTCATAAACGTGCAGGATTTCAGGTACGTCTTGCTACTTCTACTTATACTTAGGTCACATTGCACATGCATGTGCAAGCATGTGCAGTTTTCTTCTGTTCCTTACTAGTTCTTGTTCTTGTTTATTTCCTCTTATCTCCATAGGGAAGTGGAACAGAATTCTTCCTCTCTAAGCCATGTGTGTCATGAGAGGTGACTAACATGCCGGAACCAAGGGGCTAGTAACCCCATCTCCTGTATACATTACTAAATTAAAAAAAGAGAAACTTCAGATTTTTCTTTTGGGCCACCCTGCTTTGGTGGGATATGGCTAGTTAGTTGAAAGAAAAGAAAGATGTACACATTTTTTGAGGAGCAACAGATACATCATTATTTAGTTGTAGCTACAGCAAAAGTTAGATGGAGTACAAGGAGAGCAGCAGTGGTAGGTAAGAGGTAAGTGAAAGTAAATGAATTAGGGAAAGAGACAGTTTCAGAAAGATATAATCAACTATTGGAAAAAAAAAAACTGAGAAGTGGGCTAGAGAAAGCACAAGAAATGAGGAGGGAATCGAGGAGGTATGGGGTAAATTAAAGAATGCAGTGCTAGAGTGTATGGTAGAGGTTTGTGGTTATAGGAGGGTGGGTGCAGGTAGGAAGAGCAGCAGTTTTTTGAATGATAAGGTAAAGACGGTGGAAAGGGAGAAAAACCTATATATGACAGGGCTTACAATGTAAAAAATGTTAGATTGAACTCAGAGCATGTGGAGAGGAAGAGCCAGGTTAAGAGTGGTGAAGAAGCAAAAAGAAGAGCCAGTGAGAGAATTGGAGAGAATCAGCAAAATTTGCTGAGAATAAGCTGGTTTGGAGATCAGTAAGGTAAGGAAGCCTTGAGAGAAAAGGGACTTATCAATTAAATACTATTATTATTAGAGGATTGTATTGGTGCTATATGGTAGGAAATTCAGTAAATTCTTTTCTAGTAATAGACACAAACCATTACCTGTGATGTCACAAAGGTAATTAACCCATTGACTGTTCAAACGTAGATCTACGTGCGCTTGCCCAGCGCTCCGAATATTTGGAATTTTTTTTTTTTTTTTTATAAATTAAAGAGGGCAGTTTTCTGTGTGTAATAAGACCAAAAAATAATTTTAGGACCAGTACTTACTGAGATATAAGACCATGAAGTTGGTGCTGGATGCTCACCTGACAGCAACATGGAGTCCCGCCACTTGCAGAAGTGTTGCCGATGTAACATTTTTTCTCATTTTTATATAATTTTTATGTTCTGATAATTACAATTTATAGTAGTTCTTGTTGTTTCATAGCCAATCTTTGTTCTGACACTAATATTAGGTACTGAAGTTGTACTCAAATTGTCACAAACACACTGACAGGTCAATATTTACACCTGCCTTGGTCATTTACTATTGTCTAGGAATATATACAAAGTATTTATAGGTCCCAGCAATGTTTTAGACCTGCTGGAGTATATATGAAACTCCTAGAAGCATGGTGTTAAGACAAGTGTTACTAAACCACTTACAGGGTATAAGCAGTGGAGTGACACGATGACTGTGCACTGCTGCATGGAACCCTGGCATTATTTGTTTTCACTGTTACACACAAACATGTCTAAAAATAACAAAAAAAAGGCACAATACCATGACTGGAACGATACACAAATAACCCGCACATAAAAGAAAGAAGCTTACGACGACATTTCGGTCCGACTTGGACCATTTACAAAGTCACACACATGTCTGTCTGTCAAGCTATGTTTATCTGTCTTTCTGCTTTCCTTTGTGTGTGTGTCTTTCTGTCTGCCCATGTGTGTCTTTGTCTGCCTGTGTGTATCTATCTTTCTGTCTGCTTGTCTGTCTGGTCTCAGAGTTGCTCATGAACCAACTGGTGTTACACACGATTACGTCTGATTCCTGAACAAGTGAAAATGCGTATTACTTGCCAGTTGCCAGACATGCATATTATGCATTATATCTACAAGCACAGTATAGCACTTTGTTTGAATTTTTTGGGTTATCCTAGGTAATTTACACTATGTATAATTGTATTTACGTGTGTGTGTACCTGTGAGATAAACAGACAGAGATAGACAGAGCCAGATAGATAGAGACAGACAAGACGTAGAGACAGCCAATCAGCCAGCCAGCCTGCCAAACATGTCTTACACATTCTAGAATTTTCTTTTTACTTAGATGACACTACCAATGGTACCAAAATTGAAAAGGTGTTGCACAAATTTTGCACTTGGGTTATTATCGAGGTTTTTGATATTTCTTCTACCACTTGTGGCCACATCCACTTCAAAACCACTAAACTCGGGGTCAACATCACTTTCCTCTTAAAAGGGGAGTGTTGACACATGACATCAGTGAATCCTTGGTGTTTGCTGTGCTGTTTGCTCTAGCTGGCTCTCAATTGAACTGGTGCTCCCACAAGGTACTAAGTGGTCCCAGATTTTTTTAATATTGCGCACACCGAGTGTTAAGACCCATTCTGTGCTGAACAGGCATCTCAGGCCAATCATGCCAAATTTGGAGGCAGGAAGAATAAAATGTAGATCTACGTTTGGAGCGCTAGTGGTAAGAACGTAGATCTACGTTTGGACAGTTAACGGGTTAACTGACATAGCATAGAATCCCACCTATCATGTGGGTTGAGTATGTGAAAATTTATGCTCTGTGATGTCATTATGTGAAGAGCACATGAGAAAAATAGCATTGTATTTGTTCTTGACACCTAAAAAAAAAACTTGTTGACCTAGGAATGCGAGGAAAGGGTTGATGTGGACTGATTTGGAGTACAGTAGACCGTCATTTAGCATGAGTTTATTTGGCACAATTTGAGTATAGCACGATTGAAGAATTGACACATTTTTATGTAACATGTCGTATGATCAATTTAACACGATTTGCGGGAGGGGAAAAAATTTTGAGCGCCCAGTCACCCACGGTGGGTTATACCATTGAGTCAATGGAGGAGGCCTACTGCCATCCCCCTGCCACCCACACCCACCCCCACCACGCTCCCAGCCTCTCGGTTCACACGCGTGCAAGACGAAGGTACTCGGGAACCTAGCTGTGTTTATATACATACATATTTTCTTAATTTTATTGCCATTTGTTAAATCTGCCAAGCAGTAATGGCACCCAGTAAGCATACAAGTGTTGCTGAAAGTGACAAGAAAAGGTTTAAGCGTTAAAGTCTAGGAATTGCGAAGAAAATTGAGATATTAGATAAGCTTAAGAGTGGATCATGTGTGGTGGATATAGTGAGGGCCTATGGCCTTAATGAAGTGTTGGTTCTTACAATTAAAAAGAATGAGGCGAATATATGAGCTTGCGTAATGAATAACCCAAGATGTCATCTCATGAAAAGGATGACACGTAGGTCCCAACAGGTAAATAAAACAAAACTTGTTGCTTGAGTTGATTGAACAAATGACAAAGAAAGGTGCACCACTTAATTTCCTCTTAATTAAGGAAAAGGCCTTACAGTTGTTTAAAGCAGTGTGTGATAAGGAAGGAAGACCTGAAAAGGTGTGTGTTTAGCACAGGCTGATTCCACAACTTTAAGTTGCATAATAAGTTACATAATATTAAGTTTTCTGGTGAAAGTACTTAAGCTGATCATACAGCAGCAAGTAATGTTCCTGCTGAATTGCAGGAAATTATTTCTGAGGGTGGCTATGAGCCACATCAAGTGTTTAATGCTGACGAGACGAGTGTTTTTTGGAAAAAAATGCCAACACAAACTTATATCAGTCGGCAAGAGAAGAGTGCACCGGGCTTCAAGGCAGCAAAGGACCGCTTCACCTTGCTCCTTTGCGGTAATGCATCAGGTGATTTCAAGTGTAAGCCCATGGTTATTTACTGCTCTAAGAATCCTCGTGCTTTGAAAGGTGTAGATAAAAACATCTTATCAGTAATTTGGAGGTCAAACCAGTCAGCATGGATGACAGAGGAAATATTTATTGACAGGTTTAAGCATCACTTTATTCCTGAAGTCAAGTTTTACCTGCACAGCAAGAACTTTGCATTCAAGACTCTCTTCGTTCTTGATAATTCCTGTACTCATCCACAAGCTTTGCTGGATGTGACCCCGCATGTAAAAGTTGTATTTTTACCTCCAAATACAATATCTTTAATACAACCACTGGATCGAGGAGTTATTAACTCATTCAAGTGTAACTACACAAAAAAGTTATGAAAAAACTAGTTGCATCAAAGGACTCTGATTCCAACTTGGCACTACCAAGCTTCTGGAATAAATTTAACATTGCAGATGCTATCAGCTGTGCTAGAAGTGCATGGAATGAAGTGCCCCAATCAACATTAAATGCAGGCTGGGGAAAGTTATCCCCTTCTGTGGTTAATTCTTTCACTTGTTTCACCTTGCTTGAGAGTCAGGTTCAGGAAATTGTTCAGCTGGCAAGGAGATTACCAGGTGATGGTTTTGAAGATATGAATGAAGACGATGTGAATGAGCTCTTAGAAGATGATGATGATGATGATGAAGGCAGGAGTCCAGAGGAAATGTTAGCAGAGCTCGATGTACAGATACAAGGGAGGGACATAACAGAAGATGATGATGAAGAACCTGAAGAAAACCAGTTAACATTGCAGCAGTTACGTGAGCAGTTCCATATTATTGGTAAAGTTGCAGACTTTTTCACTGAAGAGGACCCTGACAAATCTAGCAGCAGTGCTTTGAAATGGGGTCTAGACCAGCTGATGCCTTACTGTCAGCTGTATAATGTATTGCAGGGTAAAACAGCCCAGAGAACCATTATAGAATTTATGCACACTCCAATGCAACCATCGACTTCAGTACCAGAACCTCTACCATCCACTTCTGTCGACAACCAACAACTATCCACCTCAGCCCAGTAGGGCCACACCATCCATATCTACTTTTTTTTTTTTTTTTTTTTTTTTTTTTTTTTTTTAATCACACTGGCCGATTCCCACCAAGGCAGGGTGGCCCGAAAAAGAAAAACTTTCACCATCATTCACTCCATCACTGTCTTGCCAGAAGGGTGCTTTACACTACAGTTTTTAAACTGCAACATTAACACCCCTCCTTCAGAGTGCAGGCACTGTACTTCCCATCTCCAGGACTCAAGTCCGGCCTGCCGGTTTCCCTGAACCCCTTCATAAATGTTACTTTGCTCACACTCCAACAGCACGTCAAGTATTAAAAACCATTTGTCTCCATTCACTCCTATCAAACACGCTCATGCATACTTTCTCCACAATTATCAACACACCATTACCCACAGTTTAAGTTAAGGTAAGAAATACTATTACAGTGGACCCCCGCATAACGATGGCATCACATAGCGATTATTTCGCATACCGCTTACTTTAATCGCAAAATTTTTGCCGCGCATACCGATTAAAAACCCGCTCACCGATTTTCGTCCGAGACGCGTCCAATGTGCGCCCTCAGCCAGCCTCACATGTGCCGCCCGTGCCATTGTTTACCAGCCAGCCTCCGTGGTAACATCCAAGCATACACTCGGAATATTTCGTATTATTACAGTGTTTTCGGTGCTGTTTCTGGAAAATAAGTGACCATGGGCCCCAAGAAAGCTTCTAGTGCCAACCCTGTGGTAAAAAGGGTGAGAATTAGTATGGAAATTAAGAAAGATTTTGAAGGGTTTGGGGCTAACCCTGAGAAGCCTATGCCAGTTGTGGAATCCATTGTGCCTACTTCAAAGATTAAGGAAATGTGTGCACAGTGGGTTGAACTGCAAACCTTTATGGATGAAAATCACCCTGACACAGCTGTTGCAAGCCGTGCTGGTGACTATTTCAATGACAATGTTGTGGCCCATTTTAGACAAATCATAAAGGAACGGGAGGTACAGAGCTCTATGGACAGATTTGTTGTGCGACAGAGGTCCAGTGACTCTCAAGCTGGTCCTAGTGGCATTAAAAGAAGAAGGGAAGTAACCCCGGAAAAGGACTTGCTACCTCAAGTCCTAATGGAAGGGGATTCCCCTTCTAAACAGTAAGAAGATAATGCTCTCCCCTCCTCCTCCCATCCCATCAATCATCACCAGATCTTCAATAAAAGTAAGTGTCATGTAAGTGTGCATGCCTTTTTCAGTTTGTGTGTATTAAAATTAACATTTCATGTGGTAAAAAAATTTTTTTTTCATACTTTTGGGTGTCTTGCACGGATTAATTTTATTTCCATTATTTCTTATGGGGAAAATTCATTCACATAACGATTATTTCGCATAACAATTACCCCTCTTGCACGGATTAAAATCGTTAACCGGGGGTCCACTGTATTTCTATTGCATTTGTAGTCTTAAGCAGTAATATATCACGACAATGAACTACAATTACATGTTCACTTTTATTTTTGTAAGATCTGTTGGTCTAAAAAAAAGTTGTTTGGCTTTTTGGGGGCTCCCGGGAATGTAATCCTATTTTCCCTATAAGTTCTTCAGTTCATTTAGCATGATTTTACCTAAAATGGCATTTTCAGGAATGTAACTACCATGCTAAATAACGGTCTACTGTAGTTGAATTAGTGGGTTTAGACAGTCGTGAAATATCGTACATGTAACTTAAAAACGCTATGCAAAATTTTTCTTCCTGTGAATTCTGGCTTCTGGTGCATGTTGATCTTGAGATGAAGAGAAGGGGTTGCTGTGGCCTTACTAAACAAAGGTGGATGGCTGTGGGTATGGTGGTGATAGTGCTGAAGAGTTATAATTAGATGCTCATTCTGTAATACTGGATTTTACTCTGCAATACTTAATACAGCTGACAGTAAGGCATCACTTGTTCCAGACTCTGCTTCATAGTAATGCTTCTAGCTGTCAGGTCCTTACCAGTCATCAGTCAAAAATTTTGCAATGTTACCAATACCATCTTGCATATGTTTTGGAATGTCATCCTTGTTTTTCTACCTCCCTTCTAACTGAGAATTGAGCTCCAGCATTTCTTCTGCAGCTTGTTCTGCATCATCTGAGTTCATTTATGTATTTTCAGATCTGCCATTTCCTGTAGTTATGTGGTTAGCAGATGCATTTTTCCCACTGAACTTGATTATGTAACCAACTATGCATTCAAAAACAGCTAGGTCATCTAGTAGTAAACAAACCCTTGTGCAGGCTGTGTTTGCACAGTCTTTAATAGTGTGAGAGCTTCTCTTGGAACATTAGGGGCTTTGTGGGGCACCTTACTGTTATCTGCTTATTCTATGCTTTCAGAAGCTTTTCTGCATTATTTAGCTGTATTGACATGTGACATTGTTTTTAGTTGGTCATAATCTGGATTGCTCATTGCTCAAGTGCTTTTCACTTCATTGTCTCAAATTTAATGAACTGTTGATTTTCTAACATTGAAGCAGCACACTGTCTTGATAGCCCACTCATCACCTTTAAGCGTATCTGTTACCTCATTTTTTTTTTTTATAAACAGCTATAGTTTCATGCTTATATTTCTTGGCTATGGTTAACATTCAGAGAAGAGAACAAGGTGATGGAAAAAAAAAAAAGTGCAAAAGGATTAGGACGAGAGTGGGTAGTATAGGATGCATCTAGAAGGCAACTGACTGACTGTTTACCTTAAGGAGTGAAGCTAGGCCTTCCTAAAAATAATGGCATTAAACTAACTGTGGAAGGGAAATACTGCACCTAGTGATCAAGCAGTATTTCATGTGCAGTGTTATTTTCCTTAGTCTATATGGTGCAATTGCACATTACTTCTGTCTGTAGGGACTGCAAGTATTTCCCTCTACTTATGGCTGGTAATATGTGGTAATAAATCTTTAAAGTACTCCAGTGCTCAATTTCTCTGTAACAAGTCTATGACACTAGGTCTTACTAGTAACTTGCATCATTGACTAGAGTAATATTGCATATGTCATGCAAAGTTAATATCTGTCCATTGCTCTGTCCCCAGATCACTTGAGTGTTCCCATCTGTATCCATTCAGCCACACCTTTTTTTCAGCTGGTATTGCCTAAAAAAAAATGGTTTCTTTCGAGAAATCTTACTTCTCTAATTTCTCTCTCAGAAAAGCTGTTTTAGCTTTCACATTCAACAAAACATGCAGTTCAAAATTTTACAATTATTTGTGTGTATAAATGTATAAAGTAAATGTCCATGTACAATATACTGGGTATATGAAAAAACTACTGCTGTCACCATGGTACCTTCTAGGGAATGTTCAGGTGCCTTTGGAGCACAAGATTTATAGCATTGCTGAATCTGTTATATCTGAATATGAATAAGCAACTCATTTTAATTCTGATCTATAATCAAATTTTCTTGCCATTCAAAAGATTATTGAAAACTAATTTTCATAAATTGTTTGGCTATATTCCTGTATGACAGAATTCACTATTTCTAGAACTGAAAGTAGATTAGAAGGTAATCTTTTAAGAACAATGATTAACCCTTTGAGGGTCTGTCCCGTAGTTCTGTGGTTTTGAAGCCAGGGTCCAAGCCGTAGTTCTACACCATGTGCTCAACTCACTCAGATAATTTGAGTGATAAATTTGGGCCTAGTTATGAGAGAATGCGTCTGTGGTAAATGTGCACCATATAAAACAAATCTTGCAGCACACATTGCATAATAAGAAGAAACTGTGATTGTGTTTTTGGAGTAAAACAGCGACTTTGTGATGTATGTTTGTATGTTTTTTATGGGTGTATTCACAGTTTCTTGGTCTCCTTTGATAGAATGCAAGATATATTACAGAAATAGAGATGAATTTGATTGGTTTCAGTGCTGAAAATGGCTTGAAACTGAGCTCAAAGTAGTGGAAATGTTGAACTTTTGTCAATGTTCAAGTAAATAAATGATGTCACGTGTCCAATACTTGTCAGCTTTTGGGTCCAAGATACATTCACGAATGTGCTATTATTTATACAATTATAACAATATTGCACAACAGGAAATCTTCTAATTTTTGGTGTGAACAAAAATTCATTATGTGAATAAAAAATCTAAGTCTAATTCATTTGTAAAGCCAGGAAACATAACTGATAAACAGAGAAAATGTTATTTTAGTGCCAGGAATGCCTGCATTGTTTATTCTGGACGTTGTTTTGAAAATGGAATACGTATTTTGAACTGTGTGTGAAATTGGCCGAATTACCATTTTCCGATCACTTTATTGGGTAGTTGAAATAGTTGACTGGATGATGATTTTTGCTCAATCTATAAAATAGAAATAATGCTAGTGAAATACCTAAGAATTTGGTTGATCGGAATAATGTAATTGGCCTGAAATGGGAATCAAATTGGGCAAAATCACCGATGCGTAAATATTGCTGATGCAGCAGAATTCGCGAGAGCATAATTTCGTCAATTTTCCATGAAATTCCATGCTTTTTGTTTTATTACCTTCAGAAAAAAGATTCTCTACCATTTCATAAGATTTTTTTTTTTTTTTTTTTTTTGAAAATTCTTGGACCCTGTGGACAAGTTTCAGATTGGGGGTCTGGACCCTGAAAGGGTTAATTACTGAAGTTAGTTTCAGGCAGATTTACGTATAAGTTTTGCTATGACTGACTACATTATGTTTCATAGAATGGCTACTACTAAATACATGTCATAATAATTTCTTCAAATTTTGAGAAAAAGTATTTATAATGGGCAGGTTTGTAGATGCTTCCTCTGTAACAGATTGCCCTAGTGGTAAGTAAAAGTAACTGTAGGCTGCTTTTAATAGTTTGCCTCGCACTACATTTCCTGATGAGTGTTCCTGGTAAAGTTTCTTAGGAAAAGTTTTTAGTAATGAAATTTATTTTATTATGAATCTGTAAATGATAAATTATTTTAAACTGCTGAATTGTGTATGGTATTTAAATTTGGTATTCCAGCAGTACCTTTGTTTAGACCATTGGAATATAAGCTTGTAAATTTATTTTAGAATGTTGAGACAATGGATATTGAATTGGGTTTACAAGCTGTACTTGAGTATTCAAGTAAAAACAATAGGTTACAATAAGTAATAAATTTTGTGACGAGTTTAAAGAATAAAAACTTTTTAATTAAGTCCTCTAAAGTTTTCTCTACTTGTAAATTAAGCAGTGAAGCTCATCCCACTGATTTGATATACTTCTCATGGACTTCCAGCAAGCGTGTGTGTGTGTGTTAGATAGGAGTGAATGGAGACAAATGGTATTTGGGACCTGATGAGCTGTTGGAGTGTGAGCAGGGTAATATTTAGTGAAGGGATTCATGGAAACCGGTTATTTTATATAGCCGAACTTAAGTCCTGGAAATGGGAAGTACAATGCCTGCACTTTAAAGGAAGGGTTTGGGATATTGGGCAGTTTGGAGGGATATGTTGTGTATCTTTTTACGTATATTCTTCTAAACTGTTGTATTGAGTACCTCTGCAAAAACAGTGATTATGTGTGAGTAAGGTGAAAGTGTTGAATGATGAAAGTATTTTCTTTTTGGGGATTTTTTCTTTTTGGGTCACCCTGCCTCGGTGGAAGACGGCCGACTTGTTAAAAAAAATATATATATATATAATCATGGGGAGTGCTAAACCCATAGGATTATACAGTGCATGTGGGGAGGGAGGGTGGAAGGTATTCAGGCTCAATTCAGGGAACTGGAGCACAGACCTAATTCCCTAGATCAAAAGCCCCTCAGTAGTGTCAAGAAACCTCCCTTGAGGGGTCTTGGTTGTGGAGGCTCCTCCAGTGATTGGACAAACCTCCTATGATTGTGGAAGCTCAGCCAGTGAGCTTCCACAATCATGGTTGTGGAAGATTGTCTCCCTGTTTGGACACCCTTTTCATGGTTTTGGAAGCTCATCCAGTGATTGGACACACTTTCCATGGTTGTGGAAGCTCATCCAATGATTAAACACCTGACCATTCATGTTGGAAAATGGCCTTAATAGTGAAGATCTCCTGATAAAAGGAATTTTATCTTTCCTTTCCGGATTCAAATCTTATCCCTCGTCCTCCTCCTTCCCCACTTCCTTTCCATTAAGACATTAGTGGGGATATTTATCCTTTGTATATTTCATCCTTTCCAGCCCTGTTCTAGTATTCCTACCCAGAGTAGTGCTGTCTTGGTTGTCTTACTCCACCTGGTAGAATTTACAGATCCAGGAGTGACAACATGGTGTACAGCTTGATGCTTTGCCTACTGGCATTATTTGCTGAAGGGCAATTGGTTGTTAAGCCATGCTTACTGTATTTCTTGGAATGTAGGTGAGAAAGGTACATAATTTACTCCTGGAAGATCCTGGAGGGACTTCCCAAACCTGAACACTGAGGTCACTTTGGTTGACAAGAGACTTGGCAGATGATGCAAAAAAATTTTTTATTTTTATCAACACACTGGCCGATTCCCACCAAGGCAGGGTGGCCCGAAAAAGAAAAACTTTCACCATCATTCACTGTCTTGCCAGAAGGGTGCTTTACACTACAGTTTTTAAACTGCAACATTAACACCCCTCCTTTAGAGTGCAGGCACTGTACTGCCCATCTCCAGGACTCAAGTCCGGCCTGCCGGTTTCCCTGAATCCCTTCATAAATGTTACTTTGCTCACACTCCAACAGCATGTCAAGTATTAAAAACCATTTGTCTCCATTCACTCCTATCAAACACGCTCACGCATACCTGCTGGAAGTCCAAGCCCCTCGCACACAAAACCTCCTTTACCCCCTCCCTCCAACCTTTCCTAGGCCGACCCCTACCCCGCCTTCCTTCCACTACAGACTGATACACTCTTGAAGTCATTCTGTTTCGCTCCATTCTCTCTACATGTCCGAACCACCTCAACAACCCTTCCTCAGCCCTCTGGACAACAGTTTTGGTAATCCCGCACCTCCTCCTAACTTCCAAACTACGAATTCTCTGCATTATATTCACACCACACATTGCCCTCAGACATGACATCTCCACTGCCTCCAGCCTTCTCCTCGCTGCAATATTCATCACCCATGCTTCACACCCATATAAGAGCGTTGGTAAAACTATACTCTCATACATTCCCCTCTTTGCCTCCAAGGACAAAGTTCTTTGTCTCCACAGATTCCTAAGTGCACCGCTCGCCCTTTTCCCCTCATCAATTCTTTGATTCACCTCATCTTTCATAGACCCATCAGCTGACACGTCCACTCCCAAATATCTGAATACATTCACCACCTCCATACTCTCTCCCTCCAATCTGATATCCATTCTTTCATCACCTAATCTTTTTGTTATCCTCATAACCTTACTCTTTCCTGTATTCACTTTTAATTTTCTTCTTTTGCATACCCTACCAAATTCATCCACTAACCTCTACAACTTCTCTTCAGAATCTCCCAAGAGCACAGTGTCATCAGCAAAGAGCAACTATGACAACTCCCACTTTGTGTGATTCTTTATCTTTTAACTCCACGCCTCTTGCCAAGACCCTCGCATTTACTTCTCTTACAACCCCATCTATAAATATATTAAACAACCACGGTGACATCACACATCCTTGTCTAAGGCCTACTTTTACTGGGAAATAATCTCCCTCTTTCCTACATACTCTAACTTGAGCTTCACTA